TGTCCTCAAGATAGCCATTTAGGAACTAGGCAAAAAATGAAATGCCACTTATAAAAATTCACACACAAGGAAATCTGAATCCTTGAAGTTGAAGACTGCATGGCGCAGGGGTGGATTGGTGTTGTTGGTCTTGATTATTCATTTCATTCTTTCATGCCACATGGACTATAGTTATATGCACAATCCATGCCGTCTATGTCTATATAATACTGATTTATTGATACATAAACAACACGGAAAAATTGGTACATCTCGGAAAAGTTTGCACAAAGAGACAGAAATTGTAAAAATAAAGATGTGAGGGCTCAGTATGCACAAGAGAGAGACAAAACTTGAAGTGTGGATATTCAAACTGAACCAACAGAATTCAACAGTAGCCCTAATGTGCTGGTATCTACCATTCTCAGATTCAGCCAGCGAGAGCTTGAGATGCTAAGAAAGTCCGAGGCAATTACAGAAAGAAATTTCATTCCTGTTTCTTTATCGACAAGGAATAAAACATTGGATTAAGCCTTTACCTCAGAGTATCCTGCTCTCCTGAACTCTTAACATTCAAGAGCTGACTCTTAAGTATGTGGTCTGAGCAGCGCAAGGAACACATGGGAAGGCTACTTATTGAAAGCATAGATATTCCGCTTATTAGAAACATTAATAAGATGAACCCCTCCCAAATTGAGAGAGGTGTCAGCCATCAAGCATTTTGTAAACACATGCTGTGCTGTGGTGAGATCGGATCCAAAATAAAGTGCTCCTCAGGAATGAAATACTCATTCAGACCTGGTTAACCAGCCAACGCTCAAGGCCTCCAAAGCTGCTGTATAGAAAACGAAGACGTTTGCTCATTTCATCAAGTGCAAAAAACCCTGGGAAAGGAGTCTAAGCAGCCTTTCAAGAAATCAGAAAATGGCAATTCCTTCACAGACTATTTCCTTTTCCTGTTCATTAATATTAACGTACGCTGTCCTCTGAGACACCCTGTTAAAATAAGACTAGCGGACAGCAAGCCTCGTTTGAGCTTCTTCCTCCATTACTGGATGGGGGTGTCCCTTTGCTCGAAATGAGCTGAATAATTCACACTATCTTATTATTAATCAGAGAATTCCCAGAATATGTAGAAAAAGAGGACATCCCCTGGTGGGCAAATTAATTCTGAAACAAGGTTTATGGTTTGAATGGAGAAATGACAGTCCAGGGACACCAGCACCACCCACTGACTCACAGCCTTGGTAGCCAAGAGGTTCTCCATTTAACTCCTCCGTGCACTGAATGAACAGCAACATGCGTTGTTTTGAATATATGTTTGTTGTGTCTTTGGATATATGTTTATTGGCTTCCAAGAGGAGGAAAAACATTCAAAACAAATCTATGACGTGGCACAGCATTGGCACTAAGAAAAGATTTCCATGAATCCTCCCCCACCAGAAACCCTATAGCAATGAACTGATGAGTTGGAGAAAATACCTAAACATTTCTCCCACACACACACTTTGAGTCCCATTAAAGTCTTTGGAAAGAAGACATTCATCCAGGAACACAATGCACAAATACAAAGCCTGAATATGGAACTGTCAAGGGCGAAAGGTATTTCTGTCTCATTAGCATGGCCGGCTTGATTGAATGGCAGCACATGACAATGAAGAATGACCGTTCTTTTTTTCTCCCTCTTCTGATTCTTTTCAAATGGGAGCAAGCGAAAACAAAAATGTCAATAGCAAATCGTTTAAATCATTATTGGTATAAGAAAGGACATTCCGCCCCTATCCATTTTAATCTTTTCTCAATGCAAGGCTAGGCTCTTCATTTATTTCTCCTCTGAAAGAGAGAGAGAGAAAAACCCAAACCCTAACTCCTGGCCCTCTAAAATTCCTCTGGTATAGCACAAATTGGAAAGAAGCCCTCAAAAGGGCTTCAAACAGTTGACCTTAGATTCCCCCCTCCCTTTTTTTCCAGTGCCAGTGCCCTTTTGCAAGTCATTTCTATTTAATACAAAAAATAAGCTATAAAACCCTCTTAACTCTCCATGCAGAGCTTTTCTTCAGAGACCAGGGGAGTTCAAGGATATCAGACTTTTCCATGTACTATCCATCACTAAGACGGACAGCTTGCGCAGGACTAGCATTTCAACGGAATGGACCGGTCATAGAGGCATAAAAGGCATAATTTTCATTTGCTTCTCGGCATGGCCCCTTCTTGCAGCTGCTGTTGGAGGGATGAGCAAAACCCAGGAACCAGGAACAAGCTTATGGGCATTGGGAGGATGGAAAAAAGGCTACCAAGTTTTCAGCTATGGCAGGACTGGCATCAGCATACCCCCATTTGGGGCAGCTGCCAGGGCCCAGGGGTTCTGGCAGGGCCCACTACTGCCAGTCCTTTTCCTGCCTGCTCAGTTGTGAGCGCTCCACTACTCATCTTCCAGCTGAATAAACTGCTTAGTGCCATCAGATAAGGACTGCAGACAGTGCAGACCGCTGTGAACATATCCAGTGGGAAGGCGTACAGCCAAGGAAGGGAAGGATGCGCAGGCAGGTAGTGAGACACATGAGTAAGTGAGCGAGCAAGCGAGCTGTCCAAAATCTGCCCAGCTCCCCCCAAAAAATCGGGAACTGGCCCTGAGCAGTGGGGTGAGACAGGAGACATTCCCATTCTCAAATATGTCCAGAGCCTGCCTTTTATGGGCCACCAGGTCATAAAAATGCACAGCAGGTACAAAAAAATCAGGCCCAGGAGGGTAGGTGGCATCTTCACAATCTGTACTCGTACCACCTCCCAGTCACATCACCGGCACATGTTCCAGCTGTGGCACAAATGAACCAGTGCTATTACCCTGCCATGATACATTTGTGATATGCAAAGGCAGGAAGAAGATTCCTTTGGTGCACGGCAACAAAGGAACCACAGATATTAATATGATTGGCTGGATGGGATTTGGAGAGTTGGGGCTTGCCTTTGGCCTTGCCCCGCTTGCTGGGAATTGGATCCAGCCATAGTGCTAGCAGGGCAAGTTCCTGTGGGGTTGTATTTGCAGTCAAAACCTTGTAGGGTCGACTAATTTCAATAGGATTTACATAATCCAGGGGGGGAAAAATGTAAGGTGATATTGTAAACCGCACTGGTCACCTCTCCCCAGCTTCTGTTGTAAATCATTAGATTATTCAATGCGTCCTTGTCATCGCAACACTCTTAGAGAAAGTGTTGCGATGCTCTGAATAGGATGCACTGGCAAATAATAATTAGGGGGTTGGGGGGGGGGGTTGTTTGTTTGTTTTAGAATTCTCCAGGAAAGCTCAGAATGTTGACACGTTTGGGGAAACTCTTCACAACCCTCCCTCTATAGTCTCCCCATACCTGGCCAAACACATGTGTGGAAAGGGCAGGATTAGAAGCAGGGAGGACAGATTAGTGAGGGCACAGAACTTATCTTTTATGTCGAGGTACAGTATGCCCAAGGGATTGTTGTCGGGATGCAAGAGGAATCATAATTTCCAATACCTCAGAGCACAATTAACAGAATTCAAAGGCAGCACAAAACAACAGTTCCCATGTATCCATGTGTCAACAGACAATTCAGAGCATGCTGAACAATAACCAGTCAATAAGCGTGTGGTCTACAAATTCTGGCATTGCTCCAGCCACATCTCCCTACCACCAGTTTCCTCTCCTCTCACAAGTAAGTTTTCTTGGTTCAGGGAACAGGCAGTGAGGGCTGGCAACAAGCCCATGACAAGCTGAGGCCAAACTTTGGGGGAGTTGTTCCCTCCAGGGAGGAGAATCTTTGAGCTAGATGTTATAAGCCCTCACTTGAACCTTTGGCCACAGCCACTACTTTAAATTGTATCTGATTATCTGGTTAGGGAAACCAGTGCTGGTCAGGTGAGTGTCTGGTTCTGTCAGCCTCTCACTTGAGTGCTCAGTTACGATGACCCTGATTGTCAGGAAACAGCCTCTGAAATCATAATGAGTGATGCAATTAGCGAACAAGAAACTCCTCCCCCACCTTTTAATTTGACCGTCCAGGGGAAAAAGAATAGAAATGCGGATGGTAAATGCAACCACCACATGCGCACCTGCATATATACACACACAGATCAGAAACAAGAAACTTATGCTAAACAGAAAGATGATCTTGCATACCAACTACAACAGTGAATTGCAAATTAATGCACAACATGGCCCTAGAGATTACAGGTCAATATTTAATTGCCCTGAGAAAGCAAAGAAGAGACCAGGTAGCTACGCAAAAGGAATCTGATACAAATCAAAGTAGGGTCTGGATATTTCATACTGCGACATGCATAGCTATTGAATTTCAGTGCCTCCCTGTGAAAGAGAAAAGGTAAAGCAACAAAAATGCACTGCGTTCAAAACCAATGACAACCAAGGGGACCAAAGAAGTAAATTTCATACTTCTACAAATTGATCTATTTCCTTATAATCATAGGGTTTCAAATACTGAGTGAATGCCCCCCTACCCAAACTGTCAATAGCATGGAATTAACTCAGGCAGCCGTAAGGAAAAAAATTCAAAAGTTCAAAGAAAATTATATCCGCAGAGAACAAGTGGACAAATCTAATGATCAAGTGGTCTTCTTTTAGTGCTAAGAACACTTAAAGGTTGTACAAGGTGAACCTCTGCCTATGAATAATACCACCTCTTGCCTAAACAATTTTGTGGCATTACGGGTAGGCATTCCTCTTAGCTTTTCATGAAAAGTTTATAACACCAGCTTCTACAATTCAACATATCCTGTAATGTTTTCCGCAGGGACTATTCAGAAGTAAACAACGGAACATAACAAACTCTTTTCCAAAAACCAAAAAAACCACAAAAAACTTGTCTATGCCATAACAAAAAAACATTGTTATATGTAACATTTTGGAAGAAGCAGCTAACTAGAATCACAATTTGAGGGAGGGGGAGAATATGTTCACCGGTGTTGCATAAAACAGTATTCGCGCAGTGTATTTCTCCAAGACCAAAACTGAATATAAAAGTATATTCCTCAAACACTCTTACTATCCAGAATCTGGAAGCACAATATCCAGGCATGTATATCACTGTGAACAAAAACACCATATCTGAGAGAGGACTTGCAATTTGCTTTAAATCCCTCTACGATACATAAGACTAATTACTGTAATGTTAATACAGGATACTTTGAGACAACAAAGCAGTGTATCATTCTGAACATCTGCACAGTGTTTCCATGTCATCAAAGTGGAGTATAATTTTAGGTTAGTCTGCATAGTAACAAATTGAAATCCTCGGCAGAGAAACCTATTTTTTTCCACTCAAAAGAAACCTTTTTTTAAAAAGCCAGCAGAATCTGTAAATAGTGTTGCGGTCAATACAAAGAGTATCATGTAAGGCAAGAACTAGTTAAAATCAGATTATTTCTTACCAAGTACCCCAAGCCGGTAGTTGACGGTGATGACTATCACATTGCCATAACTCGCCAGGACACTGCCATCATATAAATTTCCAGTGCCTTCCATGTAGGACCCTCCATGAATATACACCATCACTGGTTTGGGCCCCCCACTATCTCGAATGTCTGGAAGAAAAACATTGAAAAATATGTTATCCCCGAGACGCCTTGATGCAAGCAAAATTCTAGCTTGTAATCTTTCTTTCCCAAGCTGTATTTTAAAAGTGTTTCCCAAGCAACACGTGTGGATTACCACAGAGGTGACTTTGACACAGTCAAAAGAAAAACTCCCTATCCCATCTTGGCAATACCTGTGATCTCAAGATTGTGAGATGTTCTCAGAGTTTGCTCAGTAACCCTTCTGGTTGTCTTTCACACGATCATTTGATTGTAATCATGGGATTACAATGATCATGTAAATTCTAGAGCAAATATACAGTTGTCTTCTTCATGCACATGGCGCTCAAAGATAGAAATAACAGAGCAACATGCAGCCTCTGTTTTCCAGTTTGATTTAAGAGTGATTAAAATGTGGAATTTGCTGCCAGAGGATGCGGTGGCCACAGACATAGACGGCTTTAAAAGGGGATTAGAATTAGATTTCATGGAGGAGAGGTCTATCAGTGGCTACTAGCCATGGTGACTAAAGGAAACCTCCACATTCAGAGGCAATCAGCTTCTGAATCCCAGTGCCAGGAGGCAACACCATGGGAAGGCCATGGCCTCTATGCCCTGTTGTTAGACCTCCAGAGGAACTGGTTGGCCACTGTGTGAGACAGGATGCTGGACTAGAGGAAGCACAGGTCAGATCCTGCAGGGCTCTTCTTACATTCTTAAGAAAGACCACAAACACTAAAAAAAAGTGGTGGGCAGGGCAAGCCATGGTTAGTGTTGGTGCAAACTGTATATTCCATTATATCAGCACTTTGTTTCATGCCTAACATGCTATGCTTATCCAGATTTCTGTAACTCTTTGCATGTAAAGAGACAATGCTAAGACTGGTTTATTCTTTGAAAAGAACAAACAACTACCAAATTACAGTGCTGGAAAGGATTTTGCTCCCCAGGCCAGGGGCTAAGTGTGAGGTCCACATTTGCCGGTCAAGGTCCCAAATGTGACTGTAGATGGAAAAAAATGGCTCCTGGTTGTTGTTGTTGTTTTAAAGTGGGATCTGAGGCTGTGCTTGGTGGGGGTGTCAGGGACGGACAGCCTATTTGTTAGCGTGAACTGATGTCCCTCCCCAAGGCCCCTGACCTGCCTGGGAGAAAAGTCTGTACAAGTTAACACTGCACACAGCTACCCTTCACCAGATGGGTTCAAGCTCTGGCTGCCTTTTGTAGATATCTTCAGAGTTCCTGATGACAGTAGGGAAGGTGATCACACAACTCTACATCAGTTCTGGTATCTCGGCCATGCAGGGTGTCAGAATAATATATATATTTTAATTAAATTGCTATAATTTTATACCTGGATTCAAAGGCACTATACAATCCTTTAGGTATGTGCAAGATACTTCCCAAAGGAAATCAATCTGTGCATCATGTTTGTTCTGTGATACCTCCCATGCGATAAAGCATTAGGCTTATACAAACAGACCTGGAGTGTTCATAAGAACATAAGAGACGCCAATGTTGGATCAGGCCAAAGGCCCATCCAGTCCAACACTCTGTATCACACAGTGGCCAGAAATACCAGTGCCATCAGGAGGTCCACCAGTGGGGCCAGGACATTAGAAGCCCTCCCACTGTTGACCCCCCCCAAGCACCAAGAAGACAGAGCATCACTTGCCCCAGAGTCCCTATCTATACCTTGTGGCTAATAGCCACTGATGGACCTCTGCTCCACATGCTTATCTAATTCCCTTGTTCTAGTTCACCTTCTAGTTCACCTTCAAACTGATATTATGAAATATATCTGAGAGAGAGACCAACGTACGGGTTAGCAAAAGGCTAAAAGAGGGGAAAGGCGGCTAGTAACGTCAAAAACAGGAAATGTAATTCCATTGGTATAGTCAATAATAATTGCACCAATCAAATTAAATTAATGTAAGACCACAGAAAAGCTTGGATGGCAAGTGGGAGGGAAAGCCTGGATTTTCCTGGTTCTGCCTGAGACAGCCATTTCTCCCCTAACACTGGGGGAGTTTTTAGCTTTTGTTTTAAATTGGCAACTGCATATTATAATGACTCTTATAGCACTCTGTGTATTAGTTTCTCTGAGAGAGCCAGTTTGGTGTAGTGGTTAAGTGCACAGACTCTAATCTGGGAGAACTGGGTTTGATTCCCCACTCCTCCACGTGCAGATACTGGATGACCTTGGGCAAGCCATAGTTCTGTCAGAGCTGTTCTCTCAAGGACAGTTCTCGAGAGAGCTCTCTCAGCCCCACCTACCTCACAGGGCGTCTGTTGTGGGGAGGGGAAGGGAAAGGTGATTGTATAAATCCAATCTCCTCCTCCTCCTCCTCCTCTTCTTCTGAATTTCTACCTTTCATTTTTTTTAAGTTTCTAGGCTCTTAAGTGCAGATATATGCCCTTCACTCTTTCTGCAACAAAAGAAGCTAGAGACATACTTTGTGGGGGCAAAAATTAAAGCTGGTAATTTAGAGAACCTGGTATACAGATTGTTAGAATGTTATAACAATATAATGATATCCAACTGCTATTTTTTTTAAAAAAAATCCTCCCCCTCCCCCAAATCCAGTGGTGGTAGGTCTATTGGTTCCAGGTTGGGGAATATCTGACGTTTTGGGGGGTGGCAGGTTTGAGGAAGAGTGGGACCTCAGTGGGATAGAAGGCCACAGAGTCCATACCCTGAAGCAGCCATTTTCTCCTGGGGAACAGATCTGTGCAGTCTGAAGATCAGTTGTAGTTCCAGGATATTTCCAGGCCCTGTGTGGCCGTTGGCAATCTTAGCCTCAGAGAAGGGGGGGCAGATGCTGCCAGAGTACCAGGGCAGGGAAGCTGTGGGGAAACCTGTCATGTGGCAGCCTCACTGCCACTGTGCTATGTTGGTGGCTGCAGCAGCGACAGTGAAACCACACAAGTCCATTCCCTCGTGTGCTCTAAATCTGGGGGGGGGGCTGTTTTTGCTTTTTAAGTGGCACCTCCTCACTTATCTGTCTATGTTGTTAGGCTTTGTTGACAGGAATCTTTTGTGAACGGGGGTGAAATTGAACCAGCCAAGTATAAATTGTGTTCCTGTTAGAGTAGAAGTGCTTTTGGGGGGGCAGGGGGGGGCGGACTGAACATGCAGAAATGAGGAGCCATTAATGACCCCTGACCAGTTCAAGACTAAAAAAATGGAGTGATCTGCTAGTCCTATAAATAGGGTGTGTTCTATTTCTGTGAGATGACCTACCGTAGAAGGTTATTATTATCAGTTTCTTAAGTGATCAGGATACTTTACAGAGTAGCCTAAGCGAGGAATAGAGGTTCCCTGCTCTGAAGAGATGGATTTCAACAATGTGGAAGATAACCATGAGAGGAAAGAAAGAAGCAAAGGACAAAAAAGGTGAACAAAGAGCAAATGTATTTAGGTTTTGTTTGGGGGGACCGGAATTAAGGTCGGAGGCCTCACCAAAAAGGTTGGTTTTCAGGAGGAATCTGAAGGGGGGGAGCTTCTGAGAAGGAGCTGCAGAGTTACAAGTAGGGATGTTAGATTTCTGCTAGGGGGGTCAGGGGAATCACCGTTGCCCACCCCCACTCCAGCTACCACCAAGAGATTTGTTTTTTAATTGCCATCAGTGTGATGGTATCAGATCACTTGCAGGGAAAACCTAGAAGTGACAGCACTCCACTCTAGGAATCACCAGAAACTCTATGGATTTGCCACAGAGTTTACAGCAATTCCCACAGCAGACTGCCATCACATCCAGGTTCCCCCCCCCCATGAATTACATAACACCATCATACAGATGACACCCCCCTTGTCCCTGCCCCCCACTGGGGAAGCAATGAAGGGTAGAGTCGTTTTTAACCACAGCAAGTGTGAAGGCAGCTGAAGGTGACAGAACTGTAATCTTCTCCACATTATTATTGGGTTTTTATTTTTATTTAATTAAGGCTGAAAGGGCATTCCTCTTGCCTAAGGAATGATGTTAGGTCTGATTTAAATATGACAACAGCAAGGCAAGCGCTATTCCACGTGTGACGTTTCACTAGCATCGTTTCTTGTTTACACTGGACTGGTACCAGTGAAAAGGCATTATCCATGCTTCCTTAGCACGCCAGAGACTAGCAGCTCAGGTAGATGCCAACGGGGCATCTATATATCTAATTTCCAACAGATGGCGCCGTGTGCAGATGCTTATTCCCAGGAAAAGGAAGCTCCCTCTGGCCCAGCAGGTTTTCTTACATATTCAGTAGTCTACCAGTGCCTGCAGAAAAATCCAAAAACTAGAAAAAACCCTTCAGGGACGGCTGAATTCCCCCCGAAACCTTTTGAAATGGCCTCTGCAGGGATCTGCTTCAGACACCAACTGTGAGAGAGAGGTTAGAACGTTCAGGGGGGGAGGGGCGGGGGGGAAGAGGCTTCTAACCGGCTCTGTGAGTCAAAGGGTGTGGGGGAAGAGCCCTTTCCAGGTCTCCTTTGGCCTTTCAGGGAGGGAGGGAGCCTTGGGGCCTGGCCTGGGGAGTCCCTAGAGGTTTTGAGGTGGGATTGGGGAAGGGAGAGGCCTCAGCTGGGTATAATGCCACAGAGTCCACCTCCCCCCCGGCCACCGACAGGGGATTCTGGATAAGGTTGCCAGGTCCAGGCTGGGAAACTCCTGGAGATTTGCGGGAGGAGCCTGGGGAGGACAGGGACCTCAGTGGGGTACAATGTCACAGAGTCCACCCTCCAAAGCATCCATTTTCTCCATGGGAAGTTATCTCTGTAGTCTGGAAATGAGCAGGAATTACAGGGGATCCCCAGGTCCCACCTGGAGGCTGGCATCCCTCGGCAGCACCCTCTGGGTGACTTGATACCACCTGATTTGCATGACTCAAGTAGGCCCAGCTGCTTGCTATTGTTCATCAGCAGCCACCCTATGAAAGCCGGTGTGGTGCATCGGTTAGAGCTTCAGATTAGGGTCTGCGAGACCCAGGTTCAGATCCCCATCTTGCGGTGGAAGCTGACTGGGTTATTT